CACATTAGTGAGGTCCAGATTCGAGTCCCACTTTGGCCATGAAACCCATGCACGCCTCTGAGCCAGTCACTGACTCTCAGCCTGATCTACCTCATAGGGTTGTTGTGAAGATAAAATGGGGAAGAAGAAGATTGTGTGCTTGGGCTCCTGGGAAAACAAGACAGGATGTCATAGAATCACTGGAGTTGGAAGGGGCCTTGAAGGCCACCGGGTCCAACCCCTGCTGTTGTAGGACCCCACGTTACACCATCCCACTCAGATGGCTGTCCAGGTTCTTTTTGAATGTCTCCAGTGTGGGAGAGCCCACCCCCTCTCTGGCAGCTGCTTCCACTGCTACATTGCTCATTTAACGGTGCAACAAAGAAATAATAAAATAGATAATGTTTAATCTGATGCTTTAAGATAATTTCTGACTATAATGCAAATAGACCTATTGAAGTCTGCATTCAAAATCATTCTCAGAATCAAAATGTGAACGAGGAGGCAGGGCAGGGTGAGAGCCGTGTTCGAAAGCGCTTTGCTGACTAGACCACAAGGGCCTTTGCATCCTGAGGCATGGAGAAGTGCTGTTTGTGTTGTGTTGTGTGGACCTGAGCCGCAGATCTTTTTGGCACCTAGCACCACCCTTTGTAAAAAGCATGCAAATGTCCATCTGACCAGACATTTTGAATTATTTCCCTTCGCCACATATGAAGATGTTGTTTAATTGCAAATAGACCTCTCTGTGTTGTCATAGCAACCAATTAGCATTCATGCTTGTTAGGAAATATGTGACTTAGAAAGTTGGGGCTGGATCCAGACCTGTTGCTCTGTTACTTGCGGGAAGGGTCTTCCCAGTCCTCTTCTCCAGACTGGAGGAGAGCAGAGCACCGCTGGGGGGCATGTGGGGAGATGAGAAGACATGGAAGGCCCATTCCAAAAGAACAGTGAATCTAGATCCAATCCTTGGGAAATTGAATTTGACTTTCTCGCTTAGTGATTAAATAAAGGTTTTTGTCAGTGATTAAATCAGTCTCTTGGATTAATCAGTCTACTGTGAAGGAATAGCATTCACCACCTCTAATCCTGAGATAAGGAAGAAGTGTATATTCATCCCTCATTTTCGATGAAATTCTCCATAAACATCACCTTTTTCTGCATAGGTGCCTTTCTAGCACCCATATGCTCTTCCAGGCAATGAGATTCTGGTTCTCATTTTTGTCATCATTTGTCTTCCAACAGCACAAGAAAATATATTGGGTTTCAGTCTTCCCAAGTGTAGTGAAGGCAAACAGGGGACAGCTGGCATTTCTGGAAATGCTAATTTTCATCCTGGGCTCAAGGCCAGATCAATTTTGTTTTTTTAAAGGGAAAAGCATTGGCGATGTGGATCTCCTTTGAGGGAAAGCCTGGAAGGAAGCCAATCAAGAAAACACACCGAGAAACTTCTGAAACAGGACGAGGGAAGACAATGACACAGTAGCCACTTATATTGTATGAATGTTGGCTGTTTTCAACTAAAGGATAAAACAAGATGAATACAGCTATATGGCTTTGTAAAAAGAATGGAGCTGTGTGATACATTTTGCAGGGATGGCATGTGATTTAAAGCTGCTCAGTTCACTTGCTGATGCCTTTGTCCGCCGGGAACTTTTCTTCCTGAAGAAAAGCAACCCATCAGGACAGGCATGTTTGTTAGCTCAGTGGGTTTCAAACTTTTAACTTTTAGGAAACCCTTTTTCTGTCCATAATGTTTGTCAAACAAATCTCACAACTTAGTCACAGAAAACCTGGGCATTTCAAAAAAACTCTGGGGCTCTTTCTAGGGCACGTTCTCTACTCTGGGTTTGTCAGGTCCCCATGCAAAACATGAATGAACCCTCATGATTCTAATTCCTCTGAAGAAGACTGCCTATAACAGAATTGTTTATAGGACTGCTTATCCGCCAGTAGTTTTCTTTGCTTTGAAGAAACCTTGGTTAGAAAGAAAGCTTGGTTTGGAGAAACCTTGGTTAGCTTCCAAGGAACTGCCAACTCAAAGTCAGAAAGCCACTGCTTTGTCTCATCTGTGGACTTCTGTGCAATCCTTGCTGATAAAGATTAGCTTCTACGCAAGACAAAAATACAAGAAAGTTGCTTCCAGTTCTGTTGAGTCCAGTCCAAGATTTCAAGCAACCTCATTTATTTCCAAAGTTGGAGGTATAGACTAGTGTTTTTCAACTGCTGGTCCGGTCCATGGTCAGTGGAAGACCCTGGTCCTCCGGTCCTTCTCGCTTGCCAGGACCAGCATGGGGCTCGCTGCTCTTCCTTGGCCAAAGAGGGTGGGCAGGGGAGAGGCAACTCAGTGGGAGCCCCTTGGCTTTTCTTTTCTCTGCTGTGTTTTCTACTGGGAAAGGAAATTCAGAGGAGGGATTGTGCTGAGATTGTGCTGAGATTGTGTGGGTGGGGTTCATGCTATTTCATTATTTAACATTATGGATATTATTGTATTAAGTAACTTTGATTTTGTATTGCTCTGCTGCTCATATTGTATTTGAATTCATATTTGTTATAAATATACTGTTGCATTTATATTGATTTGTATTGTAAATTTTTGATCAAGTATTCTTAAAAAGAAGCAACAACAGATTTCACAATAGCCTTATTTGAATTACATATTGCTCTCTAAAAATTTCAGTGGTATTCAATTTTTGGTACTATATTTAAAAATGAATACACAAAATGCTATATTATGTATAGAATGTTTTTATTTCTGTCTCAGCGATCCCTGAAATAATTTTCCTATTTTTGCCGGTCCCCAGCTGTAAAAAGGTTGAAAACCACCGCTCTAGACTATGCCTGACCTTAAACTGACTCTTCCTCCTCGGCTGGAAGTTGATCTCTCAGGCTTGCTCCGTTCAACTTAGTCTACACTGCGAATGTCTAAGCAAAGCTCTTGAAAGCCAAGGTGAGCATGCCAAGAACTCATTTCTGTTCGTTTCTCTGGAAGCTTTCAGAGAGCATGGCAGCCAGGGCCGTCTTAACGCATGGGCCTGGTGGGCACTTGCCCATGGGCCCCATACTAATCTGTGTATGTTAACCCTTGGAAAATTGGAAAGCTTCCAAAATTAACAGTGGTTGTAGTTGTCGTAGGGGCCCCCGTACACTGCTTTGCCCAGGGCCCATAATGCTGTTAAGACGGCCCTGATGGCAGTGATGGACCACTTCTGGCATGTGCTGCCCCTGCTGACCATCCTCGCTATCCCGAGAAGGACCAGCTCTGTCATTAGCTGACATGAGCCTTTCATCCTGCACAACAGACCCTGGAAGGCCGAGAGCAGGAGCAAAATGTCTGAGAACAGAACTGTGTGTGCCAGGCAGCTTGGCCCGTGCCCCGTAAGGGCAATTGCTGCCCTCCAGTCACTGTCCCGCTGCCATTGTGCAAAGGCAAGTGGGAGGGGCATCATGCCCTCCACCCCAGGCAGCAAAGTGGGCAAGATGGAGCTCTCCCTCCAGAACTGGAAGTGAGCAGTGTTGCTGGAAGGCAGTGACTGTGGCTCCGTGAGGCAGCGCCTGCTCTGCATGCAGAATCTCCCTGGTTTGGTTACAGACCCTCCGGGCAGGCTTCCTTCAGGGAGCCCTGGACGGCCCCCACCGCTCAGTGCGCACATGTTGGGCAGGACTGACAAGTGGTTCAGCCCATTCCAGGCAGTTTCCTGTGCAATGGTAAAGAATCTAAGTATGAATCCAGAATGTACTGTTTTGTGGCAATATGAAAATACGAAGTTTGCTTTGACCGTTTCAAAATGAATGCAAAGAAAGACGTGGGGTTTGGGCCAGGAGTTGCCTCCTATGGGAGAAACCGTTCAGCTCGTGGCCAATTTCTATGGCATCCTTCTCCCTCCACATCACAGCTCACCCCATTGAGCAGGCTCTCCTTCCTTACTCTTTCTCTGAGCAGTCTGGAGGGGCTGCGTGAGAAAGAGGGGAAGAAGTTCGCATTCACCAGTGCCATTGATCTGGGTCCAATCTGGATCTAACCCATTTGATATCTGCCTTGAGGCACTGATGTACCCAATCTCTTATTAGGTATACCCTTAAGATGTTTAACAGTACATCTAAAATGAAAAAAAGCAAAAACATTTCAATGCAACGAGTGCATGTTTTTCATGTGTGTACATTAACCAGACAGCCTGGAATGGTTGCTTTTGCCGTCAAATGCAAACTCCATGGTAAATCGATTGCCACCTAATGTGCAAAGCAGCCCTGCTTCTCTTGGTTTTTCTTTTCGCATGACTCGAGTGGTGGGGGTGCAAGTAGACGCTTTGCAGTAGCCCTGGCATTTGTAAGTGTCTGTATGCCTGTACCTAATTCCACAGACTTTTATGAGCAATGCATACCTATGGAACACTTATATAGCAATTATGAAAATGGATCTGGGTTGCTTTTCTCCAAGCCCTGGACATCATGAGAGGTTGGCAGTAATTCTGCTCAGCATTTGACTAATTGATGAATGCACACACAGCTGAGAAGTGTACAGCCAAGAGCCAAAAATGGAATTCTGCTTCCCTTTAATCCCATTTGTCAAAAGCCGGAACAATAGAGCTCTTGTTGCAAGCTGCAAATATAGGTGCAACTATATTTTTAATAAATGAAATAAATATTCCTAATGTTGCTTTGTGTGTGAGTGGGGTGGGAGGGCTGTTGTGTAGGTTGTTGATGTAACATAGGCATACATGTACAGATTGATTGCTAAAATACCACTGCAGTCAATGCCTGAGTCATGCACATCTCAGCAAAAGAGGTGGGATCGCAGTGTGTACCTTCTAGAAAACAGCGTATCATTTATTGCACAACATTTGGGGCACTGCAAGGCAAGGCTTTCATCAGGGTGGTCTGCTGTTGCATCGCTTCTCCTTGTCAGAAAAGATATTACCCAAACGATTCTCTTCCCAGTTTTTGCCCCCCTGAATGGACGCCTTCTCTAACAGTAGCTATTTAGTGTGATAATGGCGTTTGACAGATTGGACACAAACACCATTGTCACACTCCACAGCTCCAGCAGCTCTTTCCTTGGAGGCAAGCAAACATGTACAGCTCTCGATGCATGGAATTACATCCAAGGAGACCTGTAATAAACACAGAATGGGTTTGTTTGAAAAACGGAAGTGGGGCTCAAGAAGAAACCCTGAAAGCTACTTTAGACAGGGCTGGGCTGTCAGGACGGGGGTCGAGGGCAGGCGTGATAGAGGGGTCCAACTGAGAACAGGCCCTGCTGTTGTTCCCCCTGCCCCCTCGCGCAGCCTTCTTGTTCATCTCCCTCTTGCTCCGACCCAACCGTGGGCACAATGGGAAAGAGGCATCACATCCCGTGGCCTCCTGGCTCCCTGCCTGACTGGCAAGCGAGCGAGCGGCAGCAGCGAGTAAAGAGAAAGCGTGACACTACGGCAGCAGTCGGCATGGCAGTGAGCAGAGGGTCCCCCTGAGGAAGGTGGCCGCTTGCCGAGGGGCCATGGAACCCTGGAGTGGCCTTGCGGGAAGGGAAGAGCTGCTCTTTACCAAACTGGGCTAAAGACTCAGTGCGGTCAGCAGATGATGAATTCAAGATCAGCAATGACTCCTCTACCTGTAAATAAGGCATGGATGAGACCCATTTAGTGGTCCTGAGCTCAGCCACCCAGCAGCTCTGGCAGAGAGAAGTAGCCAAAACGCTCCCTAGCCAGCTCTCTTCCCTTGAGCATGATTGCCACACTTCCAATTATCAACTGGAATAGTCCCAGCTGACTCATTAAGCTGCAGTAATGGGATCCCAGCACCAGCGCGCTGATCTCCTTTGTAGTTGCCCAGGTGGAGCATATCAATACTACAGAGATTGATCATATTCCTTTTGGACAAAAAAGAGAGACATGCGGGATCTGCAATACAACGTTGCAGCACGAAAGGCACCCGTTCAGTCGAACCAGTCTAGACCTCAGACTGGTTAGCCAAGACTTCCTTTCCCCACCAAGATCCTGTGGATCTGGATCATGTCCCAACAGACAAAATACTCCACAGAACTCAACCCCCTGCACTTAATGGTTGAGTCTGGTGCTTTTATCTGCACTGCAGATTCCACACAAACCTGCTTGCCCGCTAGCTTAAAACCATTTTAGGATAACTACCCTCAAGTCCCTGTTCCCAGTGAAAGCTGAGAGGAAGGCGACCCAGTGCATGGATGGAATTGCCCACGATTGGCATTTAAGCAGTACTGTCCCCTTCAAGTAGGACCTGGGAGTAGATCCAGAATGGAGTGTGGAAGCCCTGGAGCTGAGCAGGGTGAACATCTGGTGAGGCCAGGATGGAACCACTGGTGCTTTCTGATGATCTAACCCAGATAGGATTTACCAGCTGGAGTAACTACTTCCTGGCGGCACCAGCGTAGTCCAAAGCCCTTCCTACTTCAGCATAAATGGTGTCATTGCAAAGGACGGACAGGCCTGGATTAACTCACTCCTGGCTTTTCCATGTGCCATGACACTGAACTGGTGTAGCATTGGTGGCTGCAGCATATCTTAAACATGAAATTGGTGCAGCAAAGATGGGCTCTTCTCTTCTATCTGACATGTGCAGAATTTTGGTCCCATGATGGGCTGCAACATTCCTTCTCTCACCATGACTTCTGGGGTGGATGGAAGCTGGGCAGAAGACCGCACATGGCCACACAGCATAGGCAAATATTACCTTTTATAATTTACAGTACCTTGAAGTGGAGCTGTTTGTTTTTTTCCTTTGGGGATGATAAGGGAGCAGAGATGCTGATTGCAGAGTGCTCAGCCTTAATGCCAGTGTTGTGATTGGTAAAATTGTAGGTGCATTAGCGGGTTCCTTTTGGCTTTCTGGCTTGGTTTGATGCATTTCACAGACAAGTCAAGCTTCAGTTCTTAACACACACTGTTACAAAATAACAGGGAAAGAAAATAAATTCAAAAGATTGGAAATAAGGATTTCAGGGTCAGGCTATCCCTGCTTCCTCTTGTTTGCTTTCCATTCTAATTTCAAAAGCCCTTTACAGTAGAGTGCAAGATCCAGCTTTAACCAGCCTGATTAAAGTGGCATTGTGGGTGTAGACCATTTTGTAAAATGATTAGTTTCCACCAGGAACGAGCTTTTCATTTTACTAAGTGCTCACTTTTTATTCCTCCCTTAATGAAGAAAAACAATCAAAAGAGATGCTTTGTCCACATTTGAGAAATGAAACAGAGAAACCTGTCAGGGGAATGAAAGGTAATATTCTCTTATTATGCAGCACACTTAGCCTGCCAGAGGCAACTGGGGGCAGGGAGGGGAAGGGGAAAGGGTTCTGCTTTTCAGTGCAATGCCTGTGAAAGGAAGACAATTGGACGCAGCTCGAGGAGAGATGAACAAAATGGGAGAGGCGTTCGGTTTGGTCAAATGGGAGAGCGGGCATCCCCACTGCCACAGGGAGGTTGACCTTCCTCTTACTGGCTGGGAATTAGGGGAGTTGCAAACCTTAAACATCTGGAGTGTGCTAAGTTGGGGAAGGCTGGTATAGAGAATGCTGGACTTGAGGGGTAAAATAGTCCAAAATGGCATGCATTTTATTTATTATCCCATTAATGCCCCATCTTTCTTTCCTTTTGCAAGGAGCCCGAACCAGCTTATGTCATCCTCTTCCTCTTCCCCATTTTATCTTGCGAGGTAGGCTAGGCTGAGAGTGAGTGTTTGACCCACAGTCAGTCGGTGATCTTCATGGCCAAGAGGGGACTAGAACCCAGACCTTCTGGGCCCCACTGCAGTGTTCAAGCCATGCGCCACATTGATGGCTCCGAGAACCAGCGTGTGCTTACAAGCATGGATCCATAAGCGCAATGGGAGTGGAGGGCCATGCTAGAGCTGCTTGGAAGAGCCAGACTGGTTGATCTGCTTGTCTGCCCAGTTCATGCGAGAGGAGTGGGTGGACTCTGATGGGGTGGGACTCTAACCTCTCCCTTGCCCCCCTTGTCCAGTCCACTTCCTTCCAGGCACTTCCAGTACCAGAACCAGGCTGAGACGGAAGTGCCTTCTGTGACAGAGGGCAAACAATCCTCCTTCTCCTTTTCCCTTCATATTCACAGGCTTGAATGTGCTCCTCATCTCTCATTTGGGTCCCAATACTGACCTCACCAGCTTGCTCTGAGGTCAAACATGCCATTGATGGTGAATTTGGTGGCTGATTTGTATGGGTTCCATTGCAGGATGACAATGCACTTGTGCCAAGCTGTGAAAATGCTCTTGTCTCGAGCTAACTACACAACCTCCATCTTTCAACCTGTCGTATGTCTGCTAATGAGCATGGAGCCAGTGCTGGTTCCTTCACAATCATCATTAAAACAACAGGGATGATGGGTGAACTTGAGGAGGAGGAGACAGATTTTGGAAGAGGCATGGTAGAAATAAGAAATGATGGTGGCGACTGGACATTCTCTGGCAGGAGACTTGAAAGAACTGGCCCTAGGGCCGCATTTCCTCATGCGGGATGCTGCGCCATGAAAGAGAGCACAACGCAGGAGACAAGAATGAAGGCCACGAGAAGAAGAGGGAAATCAGCACGCAGCCTGTGAGAGCCACAGTGCAGTCTGGCCCAGGCACATGGTGCTAAGGAGCTCCTGAGTGGGGTGTGCAGGATGATGGCAGGGACTTGCTCAAAGCAGTGGGGCTTCCATGCCATTTTGCTGTGTTTCCTCTATTTCTAGTCTTTCACTGGGCCAGCAAAGTGGCCAATGCTATACGTAAAGGCTATTTGGAGATATAGGATAGTACAGCTATTCTGGGCCACTCATTACAAGAGGGATATAGCAAGTTTGGAATAGGTACACTGAAGGGCCACTAGGATGGTGGCTGGTTTGCAGGGTAAGCCATATGAAGAGAGACTGAGGGAGCTGGGTCTTTTCAGCCTTGAGAGGAGGAGACTCAGAGGGGACCTGTTAGCGACATAAAGGTATGTGAAGGGGTCACACAGAGGTGGGTTGTGACATTTTTTCCCCTGCGGTGGAGGACAGGATGTGTTCCAGTGGAGCAAAGCTCAGGGAACCAAGATTCAAGGTGGTTGCTGGGAAGTAATTCCTGACACACAGGACCTCTACAGCATGGAATGGGCTCCCCGGGAGGCGGTTGAAGCCCCATTGGTGAGGGTGTTTAAGGATAGGCTGGACATGCACATGGTAGGCATGTCATGAGTGGAGCCAGCTGGAGCCGGGGGTCAGACTAGGTGACCTGGGAGACCCCTTCTGACTCGCTGTTTCTATGTTTTTAGTCAGGAGCCAAGGGAGGACCTTGACACAACATCTGTCAAGGTGCTTGTCACCTCATGAGCAGAATAGCATGCCAACAACACTCCTTTGGACATGAACTGGCAGCCCAAATAAGCGAGGTGCCCGGATTGATGAAATGTGGTGGCATGGAGCAGCCGTTCCTATTGTAACAGCTCCACTCCTTCCCAAAGAGGCCCAAGCAGGAGAGATGGGCATGTGCATTGCTTGTGTGCCATGGATGTTTTGGGTGAGCCTCAAGTCTTGGAATTGCCTTCCCTGGACATATTCAGGGGAGGGGGGGACCGTGTGCCTCCGGAGCAAATGCATTTAACATGTGTAGGGAAGATATATGTATATCTGAAAAATCACCAATCATGGTACTCAGGACTCCCATTTTGATATCTGCAGTCCAGTGCACTGAGCTTATGATCTAATTTAAACAAAAATAACTTTTAAAAAGAGAAGACTAGAGAAGGAGAAGGCTAAAAAGAGTTAGACACAGGGAAGCAGAAATAAATGAATTTTATGGTATTTCAGAAAAAGAGAAAGAGAATCAATGAAATGGATTAGCAGTGAGCAAAGAGCTGAATGGATAAGAAGGCATGTGAGAAAAAGTGCAAGGATGTGAATGACGGAAAAGAGAACCAGTTTTAATGAGCAACAAAAAAGTAGACGTATGCAGAGATTAAGGAGGAGAATACAGTGATGAAAGATGAGCAGGAGATAGGAAAGGAACGACCTTACATTTAGCATGGAAATGGGAAGGTCAGACATGCAAAGGGATCAGGAGAAACCATGGAAAACCATGATCACATCGACAGCCCTATGTTGACCTTTTCTGTTTAAATATATGACTCCTGTCTATGAAGACTACAGGAGATTGTGTCCTCCACCAGTACACACAAACAAACACACACACACACACAAAATAAGTTAAGCTACCCTGACAACAATTTACACTTCCTAACAACCCAGGAAAAAGTGCCTCCCGCATTCAGATGGCATGCATGTGTCCATATGTGTTTGCCCTCTCCGATGTTCACACTATTTCAGATGTTCAGACTCTGGTTCAATCATAGCCTGGTGCAGCAATACAGAGCTTCTTTGTAAACAAGCCAGGAAACCACACTTTCCCATTAGCTCTCAGCTTGGAAACTATGGTTAATTGCTTTCAAATAAGCCCGGGTTTGAAGCCATGGCTTCAGAATCTGGGCTTGTAATGAAACCATTAGCCATAGTTTCTTAGTTCAGACAAAATGGACAGAAATGGTTAAATGTGGTTTCTTGACTTGTTTCTCTGCTCACGAGAAGGAGGAAGTGAAACGGAAGCAAAGGGCTCTGTGCTGATGTATGACCCCCATCTATGCCCAGGTTTATTAATCTGGATTTTTTTTCTTCAGATGTGGCCTGCATCTTGCCCCTGCTTCCCCCTCACTCACAAAGACAAAGGGCTTCTTCCTAGATTATGTAGAGCATCCCCTGGTTTGCTACTCAGTACACTTCAAAGCAAGCCACAACCATTCAGCTCTCTAGCTGTGCAATCCATACTTTGCAACACATACCTGCCCCTTTTGCACATTACAGTTTTTAGGTGCAGACTGAAAGCATCTCATATATTTGTCCATAGGCCCTTTTTCCCTCTTCTCCCAAGTGATCCCCAAAGTCTTGTGCTTCCTTAGAAGCTTTCTAGGGTTTCCTTGATGAGAAAGCAAGTTAAAGTTTCCTCAAAGAGCAATAACAGTGGTACAGTGGCCAGTTATGACTTGTCAACAGCAAATGCATCTCCACTGAGAGAGAATGAGAGAAGGAGAGAGCAAGTTGCATATAATTTTCCTCTGCTTATTCATGTGTGTAAATGCACATTTAGAAATAATTATAATTACAGCCTGTTACCACAGTGTAGAAGACTAGGACCGAGGAGCTGTGTAACGCAGAGTCTGCTGTCCAGGTTCTAATTCTGGGTGGACAACTTCATGGCTCCTTTTAGGTTCTTTCACTTCAGATCAAACTTCGCTCAGACAACCTTTGGAAAAGGAGTTGCCTTGGGAATAGTGGGGACCCCTTTCAATAGCGCACCATCCTGTGTAAAAGAGGGCCCCATGGCCACCCCATGCGATCATGCACAGCAATGCACACTGCAAAGGATTTCAGAGGCACTCTAAGGTACAAGCTCTGTTCATGGGGTATAGCAAGGTTTGCTGACTTGCAGATGCCTTACATCATCTCAAATGCAGCCTGAAATTCTCTGCAAATGGTAGAGTTCTGTGGCAGACACCCAAAGGTTCCTAGGCAGGCAATTCAAAGGCAAGAGGGTTTGTTTACTAAGAGGTGACAGTTCAGAAGTGAGACGGTTTGGAATTTCACAGCATAGTAAAGGTAGGACACTGAGTTCCTAAGAATGAAGGAGCAAGGCCATAGCACAGGTGAGCTGGAGGACACATTCAGTATGCCCCAGTAAACTGAACACGCATTCAGAAAATACATGTCGTCCTGTCTGAGACGGAAAAGCAGAGAATATGTAATGTAGCGCAGTTGCAGAAAATTGCCTCTGTGAGAAAAGCTGGAGGGAGAAAATGAACCAGCCGAAAGGCGAAAGAGATCTGAATTACCTCCCCTGCCATTCTTATCAAGGGCCAGCTGTTGTGTAGTAATAATTCAGGAGAAAGCTGAAAATGAAAGATGGAGGCATATTGGCTCTGAGGGTTTGGTATTCTTTCCAAACTGTGTGACTGTTGGACGTGGAGTTGGCAAGAGAGTCCCATTCAAGCACAAGGAAGCAGCAGTCTGCAAATTACTCCTGGTAGCCCCATGGCAATGAAGGCTCCCACCCCCTGCATTTCTGGCTTACCCCTTTGGTGGATTTTTCATTGAAAGAATGGCATGCAAGCAACTTATGCCACAACCACCCTAGAAAACACTGTATAGCTGTACTTCACACAGAAGATACCTGAAAATCTATTGTCATTGGTTGAAAGCTAATAGGTTCCTGATTTCAGAAAAGCCTAATCATACTTATTGTTACCATCTCCATCATTTGGTCAATTAGCACTTAACTTTGTGCTCAGGGTCCCCTGGCATTAACAGTAATAATGTGTTCTTTTCCCGGACCTGTACATTCATAGCTGGTTCAAACAATGCGCTGGCAGCCCTGGAGGGAGGAAAGATGCTGCTTGCTCATGAGGAACCCCATCTTCTTACATGAACTGAAAACACTCAGTGTGGAGGTTTCTGGGTTTATACATATATGGGGACCCACAATCTAGTGTGTGCTTGAAGCTATGGCATTATTCTGCACACACAAGTGGACAACTGCCCCTTTTAGAAAGCCTACAGAAAGGCTCTGAAAAATACTTGAGGATGTTTTTCTTACAGTAGTCATGAAATAGCCCTCACCTTACAGAATTATTTGCCTATACATCCAATTTAGTCCCTTATTCCTTTTTAATGAAATAGACCCATTGAAATCACTTACTGTCCCACACAACTGCAGCATGATGCTTTTCCAATCATTTTCTTAGTCATACATCTTCCTTCGCCTTCTCAAGTGCCGAACAAAATTTTCTGTCTTGGATGATCTCAGTTATTAGGTTTTTTCTTCCTATACAGTACTAAGTCAGGCTTTCAGAGCATCTGTTTCCAAACTGACTGCCCCTTGGCCTTTATGGGGTCCAAGGTTTTTAAGTAAACAAGCCAGTCTGATAAGTCACATTAAAATATTGATCCAGGTGGGATGGCGCTTGGTTCTCTGCAAGACCAAAGACTGTTGGCTGGACAGTGGAAGGCAGCCTATTGCTCCAGCCACGTCCTTTCCCTCTTCACTCGGGATGGAGTAAGAATGACAAGGGAATAGGAACGAATGAAGGGAGCCAGCGGAAGAATTCTCACATCATCGCACACAAAATAAAGAGAGGAAGGCTGCAATTCTGTGCATGCTTACTCAGGGGCAAATCCCACTGGACTCAGGATAGATGGGGTAGCTCTCTAGTCTCTGAACATAAACAGCACAGTCCTGCCCAAACTGAGACTTGGAGAGGCCTTGTTCTGTAACACAGCAGATAAAATGATAACTTGGGTCTGGACTGTACCAGTTCAGACTTCAGATAGGGTCTACAGGACTGAATACTTCTCCAGTTCCCCCTCCCTGCCCAAAACATCCTTAGTATGTAAAGAGAAATATTATTCTAAACTATCCTAAATGGCAGAGGATGAGGAGGCTGGATGGAGTCACAGAGCAGTCGGCGTGAGCTTAAGTGGCGCTTAAGTGGACTCCGGGGGATGGTGGAGGGTAGGAAGGCCTGGAGGAATGTGGTCCATGGGGTCGCAATGGGTCGGACACGACTTCGCGACTAACAGAAACAATCCTAAATGGCAGTGAAATCTGTTACATCCAGGAAACATTTTGCTGAGAAATCATCCTGTTAAGGGAGTCCCTGACTGCCTGGATGCATTTTTAAATCTCCAGCATAAGGATAGGGTGAAAGTTTCAATTAAATCCATGAGAAGTAAGTTAGGCATGGCTAAATCTCATTTCAACATCAGAATGGCCACCCAACCCTAGATATGTTTGAGAGCATAGCCCACTTAGCTGAAAGGAACTTACTCTCTGTAGGTTTTAAGTCCCAGATTCTGGCTGAATTGTGCCTGAAATGCAGGTGGTTTGTTCAGCTATAATGCTATTTATTGGCACCAAAATAAGTTGGGGCTCCAGCTCTAATTGGACAAAGCTCACTGGTTCAGGCAACTTTAACTGTCCAAGTTGCCTGAACCAGTGAGCTTTGTCCAATTAGAGCTGGAGTCCCAACTTATTTTGGTGCCCCCATGCAGTCTTATGAATATTGGCAGATGGGAGTAAGTATAGAGAGACCAGTAGGACGTAACTGAATGCTATATGGTTGTTTTCTTATTAATGTGCAAGAAGAGCCAGGGACATGCTAGTGTGATCCTAATGATAAACCACCGTGCATTAATTCTAGTCCCCTTTCAATCTAGTCCTCTTTTAATACTGTTAGGCCTGGGCACATGGGGCCCTGAGCCCCAATCTATTTCCCAGGGCCCTGGATCTTTCCCCAGTGCCATGACCATTCAGTAGTACCAATGGAAGGGTCTCCCCCGCTCATCTTCACAGCCTTGGAAAGGCCATTTTCAAGTAGGATTACAACTGGGAAGGGAAGAGTTAACCCTACCCTACTGACTTGTTGCACCATCCCACCACACAAATAATTTCCCTCCCACACATAGCAATTAAGCTGGGAAAAATAAACACCTTGATTGGGTGATCATGCAAGCATTTTCCTTTTCTAAGTTGGTTGCTATGTTATGTTATTCACGAAGTCATGTCTGACCCATCGCGACCCCATGGACAACATTCCTCCAGGCTATCCTGTCCTCAACTATCCCCCGGAGTCCACACAAGCCCACACCCACTGCCCCAGTAACTCCATCTAGCCACCGCATCTTCTGCCGTCCTCTTCTTCTTTCGCCGTCAATTATTCCCAGCATTAGGCTCTTCTCCAGTGAGTCCTTCCTTCTCATTAGGTGGCCAGAGTATCTGAGCTTCATCTTCAGGATCTGGCCTTCTAAAGAGCAGTCAGGGTTGATCTCCCCTAGGACTGGCAGGTTTGATTGCCTTGCGGTCCAAGGGACTCACAGGAGTCTCCTCCAGCAACACAATTCAAAGGCCTCAATTCTTTGGCTCTCCTTCTTCCTTATGGTCCAGCTTTCACAGCATACATTGCCATTGGGAAAACCATAGCCTTGACTATATGCACTTTTGTTGGCAGGGTGATGTTTCTGGTTTTTAGTATGCTGTCTAGATTTGCCATAGCTTTCCTCCCAAGGAGCAAGCGTCTTTTAATTTTTGGCTTCAGTCACCGTCAAGTTGAGTGCGGGGGCACCCAAACAAATCTTCACAGATGCACTTCTTTGTACTTATTTTATAGGGTCAATAGATTTTAACTGAAAAGGAACTACAATTTAGGATGAGTGCCAAAAGGATAAACTTCCTTTATTTGGTGTAATTGTGTAGGACATTTATTTCTTAATCCATCAATTTCTTTGATGGATTTATATCCCACGATTTCCCTACAACTAACTCAGAACTGCTTGCATCGTTCTTCTCCTGCTGCTCTCAATCGTACCACACAACAACAACCCTGTGAGGTGAGAGTCTGTGACTGGCCCAATGTCAGCCAGTTGGCTCCATGGCCAAACAGGGACTCGAACCCAGATCTCCTGAGACCTAGTCCCATGCTCTTAACCACTAAACCACACTGGCTCTCTAACTGGCTAGCTTTGCCGTCTGCCACCACCCAGTACATCCTAGCATTTACTTCTAATTTCCACACCATAAATATAAATCAGAACATGTGATTTTTATGCAGATTATTGGGCCTTATGGGTCTAGGTCCCGAATCTTTTAAATGCTTGGTCTCTGACATTATCTAAGCCATGATCTTATCCATCATGATGTCCCGTGGCAGATTTTCTCTTCTTTTCATTTACCCACCGTGCCATCTAACCCATGTGTGCTGTTGATGGTATCCAACGTCTGGCATGATGATGTTACAGATAAATCAGTCGCCACAATGGAGTTAAAGAACGGAGGGTCAGTTTGGGTGCAAAAAAGAACCGAAACAGTGCTGGGAAGAAGCAGCAGCAATAGAAGAAGTGAGGCAGAAGAGCATCAGACTGGGTTTGGAGGGTTCAGTCTGTTTCCAGTCCATAACAGTTTCACACGTGCTCATTCCTAAGTCTGTTTGAGCCTGGAGTGCCTGCTCATCTCTAATCTTGGAAGAAAAGCAGGGCCAGGCCTGGTCAAAATCTGGACAGGTGTCTTAAAATGCGGTGAACCACCTAGAAAGCTTCAGCTATGGGTGGTATAGTAATGTAATGTAAAAATAATAACTTTGCATTAACCTGTGGCTTGAGTTTTTTTAACACATACAATAGTCTCTCAAATAAACATATTTTACCTCCAAGAACACCTTTCTAAATGTATTTTATCCTAAAATATGCATTTTACTATGTATTTTGGTTTTGTTCGCATTTAAAAATTTGGAGAAAGGCAAAATCCAAAAGGATTTACTGCATTCCAATCCACAGCTATATCTTGGAGGTGTAGATCAAGATGATTCATATCTGTGAATTCATGAAGAACAATATTCTCATGCATCTCTGAACAAAGCTATACAAATATTAAGTAGGCGTTTTATCCCCAGCACTCTGTTCAGTTTAATCAAATGTGATCCTTTTGAAATGGATCTGAAACCAGAGAATATTTGATACATCTGTAACTTGCACTTATGCCTAGTTAGAGTGATATGCAATTGGTGTTCTTTTTGTTCTGTTCTCTTTATTTTCCATGTTAATCATTTTCCTACACAAGTTCACTGTGACAAGGTTGCTTGGATTTGGTTGCTTGCCCACCTGTTGCTATAGAGGAGACTTCTGAAGATTTATGCAACTAATCTCTATTTTTTAAAAGAACTCTTTTAAAAAGAGTTCTTTGCAACATCACATACAGCCAACAACCAGAAACATTGCATTGCAACAGTTGTATGTGTGACAATGGCCCATTTCTTTGGAAGGACACGCTAAATAACTTTTTACACAATAGCCTGGGTTAGCACATTCGGTAAAAGCTTTTCATGAGGACCAGCACCCCACATTCCCCAAGTTTCAGTTACTTGTTCCAAATGAATTGTCAACAATGACCACAAATCAAAGCTTTCTAATGGATTTATGGTGGAGTGAAAAAGATGGGCAAACAAATGACAGGGATCAGTCATGTGGTTTCAAGGGTCAAAGGACTTTCCGAAGTTATGCTTAGTCACCACCCCCATGTATTTACTTTATTTATTTATTGGATTTATATCCCATCTTTTTTTTTCTTTTAAAGAACCCAGAGCAGCTTATATCACTCTCCTCTTCCTACTTTAAATCTTATCCCCACAACAGCAAGGTTGGGCTGAGAGTCTGTGACTGGCCCAAAGTCACCCAGTGGGCTCCATGGCTGAGTGAGGACTTGAACCCAGGTCTCCTGAGTTCCAGTCCCATGCTCTTAACCACTGTGCCACACTGGCTCTTGTAGATAATATCTACTGCAATAATCACATAGATAATATTTATCCTTAAATACTTTAGACAAATGTCAGACTGATGCTTCAGGGCCTTCCATTGTACCAGCTGTTTTTTGAAATACTGGAAGCAAGTTTTGGAGCCTTAGTCCAGGTTAAGTGTTTAGGGCCAAAATGCAAATGAGCATTGCAGGGCCAGGCTGATGATTGCCAGATAGTTGTTTTGTAAGAGAATCGGGAGACTGGAAGTGACACTTCATGGGGAAGTCCATGGAGCTTCATAGCGTCTTTCCATGGTACAGGCAACATGGAACATTGCTAGAAAAGGAACAAGTTGGAGGCCCAACAGCCGTAGGCAGCCTAGCAAATGTGGGTGGTTGATGGCGGGGAACTGTCCAATGATTTTTGGAGGCTCACACATGCCCCATCTCTATGTTAGAAGGAAGACCAAGTGTTGTAGTAAGAGACAAACCATATAAAAATTGAGCTTATGGAGTCTGAACTCCACTGGAGCAGAGCAATGGATATGGAATTGAACCCA